CTTGCACCAGCCTTCCAGAACAGAACCACAGATCAAGTCTCGGTCATAAACATGTCAGTTCTTCTCTAACAGTTTATAATAAAGCTTTTAACAGCACTTCAACTGAACCCTGATTCAGTTTGAGTCCTTTGACTCCTCTGAACTTTGAGTCCTCTGAACCTTTGAGTCCTTTGTTGTCCGTGTTACATCCAAGAGAAGAGCAGAGAACAAAGATGAAAATATATTTTACATAAACAGCACTCAACAGTCAGCAAAAAGATCTTTCTCCTGTGCTCATATAGTGGTTACATGATACTTTTAAAATAACAATGGGAAAAATGTATTCTGACGATATTAGAGAGGACTAGGACCTCATGACTTTAAAAACTGGGGGTTCCCAAAACAGGACACTTAAATAGAATATATGTATATATATAATGTATATCACTCCATTTTAAAGTATGTACTACATTAAAGAAAACATATCAAGGTCTTTTCAGAAGTGACAATGATAGTTCTGCAGAAGAACATAACTCTCCCTATGTCTCTGTCCTGTGCCGATGGATCATTGATAATCAATAGCCAATGTGTTGAATCTCTTGGAGATGGAACATCTTGGTTCATCAGGATATTGCAAGTTGAGGAAGACAACAAATGACACAATGATGCTGCTTGGTTATTTTGACTCTGTTATATCACAACTGTCAGATGTGTGTGGGAATGCAACGACTGCAGCTCGTTTGTGAACATCACAGTATGCAAGTGACTAGCTACCAGGACAAAATAATGAACCAGCACCAAAAAAACACAAGGTTAAAAAAGCCTGGAGAGTATAGTCCAAAGTGTACCCCCTTCTTCCCTTGAATCGCAGTTGATGCTCCATATACGTCAGGATCATTGCTCAATAAACTTTTAGAGGCTTTACTTTGCACTTCACATGTAAGTGCATAAGGCTTACATTTTATAGTATATACATTATATACACTTAAATGTAACCTATGGTAGCGTTTTGTAAAACTGGGAGATGCTGAGGGGCTGGACACTACACAGGGGACAGATCCATGGGAGGCGTTCATAATGAACATGAGCTCCGAGCTGGTCGCTCGAGTGCCTAGCTGGTTGAAGGAGGAGAAGACCGTGCAGCTAAGGGTGGGTGTGGACGGGGAGGCTCAGGGGCTGGCATCAGACCTGTTGCACGAGGAAGTGAGGAGCTATGAAGGCATCCTGGTGGCCTGTGACTGGTGCTTTGGAGGCCCTTCATCCATGCTGGTGCTGTGAGAACACTGGGAGCACTGGAGTGCTGTGTTCTCGATGCCAACCTTCTCTACCTGGTGTGTGTGGCTTTCCTCCTCCATGAAGCACAAGAAGAGCTGAGTACTCACTGATCCTTCAATGGCATCAATATGTGAGAGAAAAGGACTGCAGCACGTGGGATCTGTGAGTGAGCAGGCTCTATGTTAGCTGAGAACTGCAGAAGTGTAACCAGCAGGGTGCTGGTAGCTGAGTAAGTATGAATGGTGTTTGGAAAGATATCAGGCTAAGCAAGCTGCAATCTGACTGTGAGATGTAATGAGAGCCTGAGTTTCCAGAGGCGCTCTGACAAAACAGGGCTCTCAAACTGCAAGGTCTCTTGCTACCTGTCATGTCTGAGTGAATGAGATGAGTGAGCAGTGGCCTCTGCTGGTAGTGGGGTAGTCTCTGCTAGACTTGGCGGCTGCTGTGTTGGACTGCCGGTAAGGTAATGAAGACAAGTAGGGAGCTTCCAGCCAAAAGCAAACAACCAAGAAAAGGTTAATACTGCTACTGCCCCATGAAGGGGTTGGTTAGATAACAGATAACATGTAATTCCTATACTCCTGAGGGTGTGCAGACAGGTTTGACTCATCAGAGAAAGTACCTCAAATCAGACGTCCACTGTGGCTGTTCATGTCCTGATGCTCCAAGCAGCTAGCGATGGGCTAGGGATGCAGGAAGTGGCAAGCCTTTGCAAGAGAGAGGTGGTTTGGAGAGCACGCATCACGAGAGCACAGCCTTGCTTTATTAGCAGAAGCATCATGATAGAGGCCAGGGTGCTCTTACAGATGTGTGGTGCTGCTGAGGGTGGTTTAACTTGGTGGTGGTGATAGATCACTGATCCTGGGATACCATGGGTGAAGGGCTCAGGGATCTCCACTTAGGTTATCTTCCTGACGGAGTGAAGAAAAACAAATCTGGAGGCTCCCCTGGTAAGATAGCAGGAGCCTCAAGTCCTAGACTCCCCCCTCCCCCCCTATGAGGAATCATATACTAACCATACTCTTGCATGAGAGTACACTGCACAATAAGTCTGTGTGGGGATGTACCAGTTGATGTGGACCTGTTAAAGAGCTCTTGTGTGGTCTGTCCCATGCAGCATCATTCATTTATTAACAGGAATCCCTTTCTCTGAGCATTTGGATAAGAAAAGCAATATGTAGCAGTTCATATTTTTTGTATAAAATGTATTTTTATGTAGTTTATTTTATGCTGCATTTTTTGCTCATTTTATCAATTGTGCCCATAATTTTGGAGATGAGTGCAAATGCACAGATCCCTTTCCAGCAGCTCTGAAACAGATTTAAAGTAGTACTGCATCCTTACCTCTGCTGTGATTACAGAATCCAATCACTGCTGTTTTGGGTTTTAAAATGTGAGAAAATATGACAGAAAATAATAAATGATATTCATCCTTTTTTAATCTTTATTAACCTCCTCTCTCTATATTAAATGACTAGTCTTAGAGGGACAGGTTGCCCCCTACAGGATATTGGCTCTGTCATGTTCACACCACTAAGTGGATGAAAGACACTGGAATAGAACATTCTGCCAGTGTAGTTATAGCATTCTGTTTTGATATGCTGTCAGTGGAGTATAGCAGGCAGTGTTTTAATGTACTGTCTGTAGAATGGCAGGCAGTATACTAGACAGTACAGGGAAAATTAAAAGACTTTCAGTTCAAGTCTTTGTGGGAAAGAAAGGGTGAACTAGTAAGTACCATCTGGCTGGATGGTTTTGGTGTTCAGCGATTCTCATTCCTCTGTTCTGTGATTGTACTAATCTTCTCTAAAAGTCAGTGTACAGTTGTGTGTCACTCTAGTGTGATTTTACTTAAAAATACCATATTTGCATGCTGTGTGGTTAATTGTGTTTGCGTGTGTTCTTCTTGAACCAGAGGAACAAAACATGCTCCAGTAAGAATAATGATGTGAAGTAATTGCACCAATCTTTATGACTTTGGAAAGAGTTTAATTGATGACATTGAAGATGATTCATTCTTTCTTATCAGTTTGCAATACAGGATGGTGATAGATTTTGGGAGGAAAAGGGTCCAAACTACTGTCTACATCCATGAGAGTGGTGTGGAGATGGTGGACTCATACAAGTACCTGGGAGTGCACATCGACGATAAACTAAAATGGTCTAAGAACACTGAGGCCATCTACAAGAAGGGTCAGAGCCGACTTTACTTCTTGAGGAGGCTCAGGTCCTTTAACCTATGTAGTAAGATTCTACATTTATCAGTTTTATCAGTCGGTTGTGGCAAGCGCCATTGTCTTCATGGTGGCATGCTGGGGCTCTGGGATTAGAGCAGGGGATGCTAACAGGCTAAACAAGCTCATCAGAAAAGCAAGCTCTGTCATTGGGTCTGGCCTGGACCCCCTGGAGGTAGTGGCTGAGAGGAGAATGGAAACTAGAGGCCATCATGGATAACGTCTCCATCCTGTCTATGACATGCTTGTGGAAATGAAGAGCACGTTCAGCAATAGGCTGATCCACCCGCGGTGCGACAGGGAGCGCTACAGGAGGCCATTCTTTCCTTCTGCCATAAGACTGTACAACACAGGAAAACAATGACATTGACCCGTTTTTGGACTAAACAGTAAACTCTCTGCTACATCTGGCTTTCCTGTTTACAACGGTTTTTGTGCAATATATGCCAGGGACTTGTGCTATACATTTATATTTATATTGTGCAATACAACTTTTTGTGTACTGTTCTGGTTAGTTCTTTGTATAATCTGGACTGTGAGTAACCCTTCTTAGTGCACGTCTCACTGACTGTACTGATTGTATTGTATGTATTGTATTAGTGTATCATTTTGTTACACTGTACTGTGTTGATTGTGTTAAGCTGCTATTGCACTGCAATTTCCCCCACGGGATCAATAAAGTATCTACCATGCATTCCTTACAGGTTAGAGGATAGCTTTCTAAATACACTTATTGTTTTATGACTTTGATTTTTTTAGTTTGTAGAGGAACATCAGACTATAACTAAGAGTCCTACTATTGTTTTATTATTTAAAAGTGTTTAGGATTCGCAGCTGTTTGTGTCCCGAGTTTGAATCCAGACTGAATTTAGCATGTTCTTCTGTGTGCGCTTGGATTTTCTACGTGTCCCAGTATCTTCCTGCATGATGTCTAGGTTACCATGGGCTTCAAACTCTAGACTCCAGATCACGACTCTATAAGGATAAACCAGAATATGGATGGCTGAGAATATTTTGAATGCGTATAGAAATATTAATTCCATTCACTAAAAAGAGAACCGCAACAACCGAGTTTTATCGGGCAGAGAGCTCGGGGAGGTAGCTTCTCCAGTGAGAGCGCCGCGGGCAGCTCCAGGCGCGCTGGCAGTTTTTGTACTGCCGCTCTATCAGAGTCAGTCACTGTGGTGGACTTTCGGCGGCGGGACCAGACCGAGTGTGGGCAATAAGTACAGCGCAGCCTCGCCGTCTTCCTCCCGGGCTCTCCGCGCAGACAAACCCTGCAGGACTGCGCGGCTCTTAGAGAAACACGGGCGCTTTTATGATCATATTTTATGTTGACATTATTAATGTCCTGTACTTAACACCTTCCACGATCTGGATATAATATAGTTTAAACGACAGGAACCTTGGGTTTCCAGGCGAGATAAAAGAAGATATAAACCTGTAGAAACGCTGTAGATGCGCCTCTGGTCCGGGAGCAGGTTTTTTAACAAGCGCTGAATCAGTTTTAAGCACTGTGGTACACTTTCGGCGGCGGCACTAGACTGAGCGTTGGAAGTAAGTTCTCCGTCTTTTCACAACTGTTTCTCAGTTTTTCTGACAAATAAATGTTATTTTCTCATACAAACGGGGAATCTGTATGTATTGGTATACGGATTTCTAGCTCAGCAGTACATTTAGGGGCTACAGAACAGGCAATGCTGCGTCAAGGGCTTACAAACGTTAATGCAGACGGATTTTAGAACATAAATTCAAACGTCGGAGCTCATTTTAAGATGTTTTAAACGGTCTTGATGTGCAAAGAATGAAATTTAAAGCAATGAAATTCAGGAACGGGGAGTCAGCTTGTTTGGTGTCGGCAGTGCAACGAGGACTGTAGTGCGGGGTGCCTTACAGGTTTCATCTCTCCCGAGTCTTGTGAGATAATGTATTACCGTGTTTGCTTTAAACTATGAATCTTTTCTACAGTATTTGAAGCAGGCTAGGGTGTGAAATGAAACGTGCACCAGCTATTAGAGACATAATCTTTTGTTAAATGCGCACAGCGGAATATTTCCCCACCCTGTGGTCTGACGCCCGAGAGACAGTCTGTTGGGTTCAGACCCCGTCGGTCCAAGTGTCGCATGTGCAGCCGTTGACTCGGGTCCGTTTCGGAGATGAGCTGCTAACAGGAGCGCCCTGAGGACAGTGTTTTTATTTTCTCCAGATGAAATTACTCGAAGTTACTTGTGTTCTGTATTTCTGACGCACCGTTACTGTGCACCCGAGTTGGCGAGAGAACAGCAGGGACTCGCGGCTTCTCGCTGTCTCTTCTCTCACCGGGATTCAGCCTTTTAGTTCGTAGCGCTTATACAGTCTAGTATGGTTAAAACATGTAGGCACAGCATTTTCAGACAACTGAAAAATATAATATAATTATTGTTTTTAGCTGCATTTAATTCTAGCCAGTGAAAAGGAGTTTTGTCCAAAAAATACCGAAGTTGTTTTTAATTATTGGAAATTCGTGTAAACCATACAATTTAATAAATTATGCTATCTATGACTTCTGTTTCCCAGTTGGCAAAAGACGTATAATATATGTCCTAACAGTTAGAACCAAAAACCTATTATTTTCAGTGTCCAGATCTCCTGGCCCCCTGCCTTGCATATGCATTTTTCAAGTAACACATTGCGTGCTCCTTTATTTATTTTTCTGTTGATGTAGGGTGGGACTTCAGCACCGCAGCTAGGATAAAATTATATAATATTACTTCCCAAATAAATGATGATTAATATCTTCTTTAGTATAATCTAAAAAATGAACGGTTTACTAAGCTCAAAGCTGAAATAAGTGTATAAAATTTGGCTTGCATCATAGCAGTTGAGCAATAAAGTCTGTCCTAATTAAAGAGTACCCAAAGTTTGAAAGTACAACATAGAATAAGAATAGAGAAACGGCAAAACAATTTTGTGTTATCTTCCCCATTCACACTATTTTTATGTGCCATTTTTTGCTTATTCACGTACTATTTTAATCAAAATAATATTAAGAAAGATCTGTATGTATTCAGATAGTATTATTATTGTTCATACTTACTCGTCAAAAGAGGATTGCTGAGATATTTGCGGATATACTTCT